CTTTTTTTTTTTTTTTTTTTTTTTTTTTTTTTTTTTGTATTTTTAGTAGAGTCAAGGTTTCACCATGTTGGCCAGGCTGGTCTTAAAATCCTGACCTTAATTGGTCGGCCCACCTTGGCCTACCAAAGTGCTGACATTATAGGCATGAGCCACCACTCCCAGCCCATATTATACAACTTTCTATGTAGTATAAAAACTTACCAATATTGGACTCCTAGTGTACTTCTTCCCATTCCTTGTCTCTCTGTGCTATTATTGCCATACACTTTATAATCCCCTTGAATAACATATTCTTTTTGTGTGCTTTAAAGAGTAAATTCTCTTTTAAAGAAACAAATAATAATAATTTTCTCATATTTATTCATGTAGTTACAATTTCTGCAATGTTCATTTGTTTATGTAGATCCAGATCGCCATCTGGTAGTATTTTTCCTCTGCTTGAAAAACCTTCCTTTTGATATTTCTTATAGCTCAAGTCTCTTACTGTTAAATTCTTTCAGACTCTGCATGTCTAAAACTGTCTCTGTTTCACTTTTATGTTTGTAAGTTATTTTTTTCCAGGTTAAAAATTCTAATTCGACAGTTTTAATCTTTCAGTATATTGCTCCACTGTCACATTATTTCAAAAAAAAAAAAAAACAACCTCTGTTATCATTACTTTTGTCCTCTTTATAATGTCTTTTTTCTGTCTTCCATGATTTCCTCCTTATTATTGTTGTAAGCAATCTGATTATGATATGCTTTCATTTTATTTTTTTCATGTTTCTTGGGTTTCTAGTAACTCAGGCTTTATAGCTTTCATCGGCTTTGGGAAATCCTTAGCCATTATCTTTTCACACATCTTTTTCTCCACCCTCCCTCTTGTTTCAAAACTCCAATTGCATATGTATTTAGCAGCTTAAATTATCACATAGTTCACTGATGATCTCTTCATTACTTTCAACTTTTTTCCTCTGTTTTGTTTTGAACAATTATGTGTAGCTGTATGTTCAAGCTCATTAATCCTTTTTTTCTACAATGGCTAATCTTCCCTTAATGTCATCCAAACCCAGTTTTCATATCTCACATTGTAGCTTTTAAATCTAGAATTTTGATTTGAGTTTTTTCTATAGATTTCATGCCTCTACTTTACCTGTTTAATTTTTCTTTTTAGTTTTTAAGCATATGGAATATATTTATAATAACTCTTTTAATGTTTTTTTCTACTAAATCTTTCAAACATGTCATTTCTGCCTCAATTTAAATTAATGGCATTTTCTTCTCATCTCTTGCTTCTTTGTATGCATAGTCATATTTTGGATCACAGGCCTTTCATATTTTATTTTGTCATGTACTTAACTTTTTTTTTAATTTAAAAATATTCTCAGAAGAAAAGATGATGAAGAGAAGTTGATCAATGACAGCAAATCCAGTCTGCTTGGAAAATTAAGACCTAGTGCTTGCCAGTTCAGTAGGGTGACTATAGTGTACAATAATCTCTTGTATATTTCAAAATAGCTAGAAGATAATAATTTCAATATTTCTGGCATGAACACAAATATTTAAGGTGATGACTATATATCCCAATTACATTGATTTGATCTTTTACAAAGTATATGAATATATTAAATTATCACATTTCCTGAAAATATGTAAACCTATTATGTACAAATACAATTTTAAAAAAACAGCTAAAAAATATAAGTATTCTTGGGCTTTGTACTGGATGCAGTTGTTACTTGCAAATTGTTTAATGCTTTCAAGTCTCTATCTTTTAAGCTTCATTAAATGGACCACAGTACTGTTTATTCTTGGGTTAATTTCCCCCACTACTGAGGCAAGACCTTTGTTAATGCTCTAATTGATGCCTCATGAATTACGGTTTTCTACTCTGTTAGAAGCAGACATTATTGTAAGCCCTTTGGAACTTAGGACACTCTTCATTCTAATTTCTTTGGATAGTTATTTTTTTCTGTATTGTCTAGCTTATTCACATGCATGTGCAAATCATACTTAATTAAAACCTTCAGGGATACCTTCTTCAAGTCCTCAGAGCACTTTTTCTGTACATCTCTCTTTCTCTAGCATTCTTCCCTGAGAGCTCTAGACAGATTTGCTTCCTCAGTCTCCCAGGTCCATCTCAACTCAGAGAAACCATCAGATTCAGCCTGGGTTTCCTTTCTCTACACTGTGGCCCAGACTATTATTCTACCCAGTAATCTGGGTCAATCATAATGAAGTCTTTATTTCTCTTCCTCTCTAAATCATCACTATTCTTTATAGATTGATGTCCAATGTCTTGAGCATCATTGTTCTATGTATAGTCTTATTACTATTTTTTTTTAGTTATTTCATTTACTCTATCTGAAACAGAAGTGTCCTGAACTGGAACTCCTGACTACTTCACCATGCAACTTTTTTCTTAATGTGCTATTTGCTAGTTTGGCAAGATAACCCTTCCTTCTTTAAAGCACCCACTACTTTGATAGAGGACAGATAGGTAATTTTTTCTCAGCTGGCACTGTTACAAGTCTAACTAGACCATTTCACATTTCTATAAAACCACAGATAAGTGATAAGCCCTCTGAGTCTCATGGGCATTGGCCTACTTTTTTTCACAGTAAATGGAGTTCCTTGGCTGGAACAGACAAGGATGGCCATATGCAGATTTATTAAATGGAAGCCCCAGTAGAAAGAAGACCAATAAAGAAAGAAGCTATAAATTTGAAATAAATGTCGATTTCAGTGAAAAAAGAAGTAGTTTTTTCCAAGATTAATGGTGTTTCAGAAAACACATTTTATACTAAGGATACTCTAATGAGACCACAATAGTGACTTTGTATTGACTGTAAATGAGTATTACCTGTGATATGCCACATTCGGCTTTGTTGAAGGGACATCTCACACTGCCAACATAGCCATATTATTCTTGAGTTCTTTGAGCATGTTATATGATAGTTGAAGAGGAAAGCGACTAATAATTACACAACAAGTAAATCATCAATATAGTTATTTTAATCCTCCTCTACAAGATCAACTTTTTATTGTATATTTATGTGGGACTCTAAAAGCACATTTTGAATGGCCTAGACACGTGCAATCTTCTCTCATTATGCCCTTCAGGCTATAACACCACAGAATTGTAATTCCAAATGTGATCACTATGTCATGAAGAATCACCTATAACTTGGGTTTTATTTTTTTTTGCTCCTCAGCTAACTTCTCATGAAAAAAAAAAAAAAAAAAAACTTCCCACAAAACCACAAGAATAGGTTAAAGAAAGGCCATCATTGTGCCTAGTATAGGCACACAATGTGTGTGAACCACCCACTCATTCAACTCAGAGGTGTCTTCAGGAACTCTTCATTTAGTTTTCATAAACTACATTATTTATACTTGACAGTGGTTTGCTATTGGGCATGTGCCAAAGTAATTAACAACACATATTTTACTGTTAAAACTCGGATTGCATAATCATTTGGTGAACCTATGATCAAATACCCATCAGTGCCTCTTAAATAGTTGACCATGTAATTTATTAACAAAATTAGGACAGCAAGAGTAAAGTAGGACTGTGCCAGAAAGCAGAATGTATAACCACTTTATAATACTTTACAACTCTAAGCAAGCCAAGAGTTGATTCCTTTTTTTGAGATGGAGTTTCACTCTTGTTACCCAGGCTGGAGTGCAATGGCAATGGCACGATCTTGGCTCACTGCAACCTCCACCACCTGGGTTCAAGCCATTCTGATGCCTCAGCCTCTCAAGTAGCTGGAATTACAGGCACCCACAACCACATCCGGCTAATTTTTGTATTTTTAGTAGAGACAGGGTTTCATCATGTTGACCAGGTTGGTCTTGAACTCCTGAACTCAAGTGATCTGCCTGTCTCAGCCTCCTTAAGTGCTGGGATTCCAGGCAGGAGCCACCGCACTTGTCCACAAGAGTTAATTCTTAAAAGAACATTAGTTTCCAAAGAGAGGTGACTTTGCTTCAAAACCATAAGGGTAATATGGAAATGGGTTAGAATTTAACATACTGAAAGGCCTTTAGGAGGAAAAGCACTGATGAGTGAAGGCCTGAGTTTGATGTCAGAACAAAACTAGACATCCAGCTTTGGACTCTAGGCCCCATCTACACTTTGGCATCAGCTATCTAACCCCACAAACCTTGTATTCACCATGATGTACCCCAGAACCAAATGCTGGTTTGTCTGAGAGTCCTTGGGAGAAGGTTTTAGACATCCTACTTCCTGCTCACGTCCAACATCTTAGCTTCATCTTCCCTGTGGACCAAATATTGGGGACAGTCCAGTGGAACAGACACCAGCCATTTCTGAAAGTGAATCTGTGCTCTACTTTCAAGCTCTACACACAGGGTTTGCAGCATATACAATGGTACAGAAGGCCACTAGTAGCCCCAA